GACAGAGACCAGGCAAGACATTTATCTTGAAATCATTTATACTACCTCACAGTCACTAGGCACTTAAGAAATACAGACTTCTTTTGGCAGTTGTTCGCCTATTCTGAACCCAAAGTACCCCAGATTAAGGGATTTTAACTCCTTTGAGATTTGACAGGAGTAGTGAATTTAAGCTTTTGAGACAGCAGCAGGTGGCTGAGAGTCCTGCACAAACAGGACAAAATCTTATCTTTATTTAAAGAGGGAGAAGTGAAACCTCCATTTCATCACTGAACATTTATCTATATTTATTGTCTATTTCTAGAAAAAAAATGCTGCTTACCTTTTTGTTAATTTATTCACTGGATTTCCCTTTCTGATTTCTTAAGCTTAAATCTAAATAAAGCAACCTATAAAATCTAAGGTCAGATTACATACCGGAAAAGTCACCTACTCTAGAGTCCTGAAGCTGGTATCCAGGGACAGACATTCACAAATGAGATTATCAGAGACAAATACAGCCAAACTCCATGTAAAATTTTGTGGGCTTTTTTATAAGTACATTTTTCCACAACATACAGGGACTATAGCAATTGTGAGGTTCTTAAAATAGTCTGTGATATTAAAAATGTTGTCCATTGTTTTTCAAATCTATCACACTATGAATGACACTCTGGGAAACATTCCATTTTCTTATTAAATGTCCTTGTACAAAAGGTCCTATTTTAGCATCACCCCAAAATCTACAGATAGGAAGTTCTTTCTTAAGTCTACCCTAATCGGTTGGCAACGCCTCCCCATGGAAGCCCTTAGTAAGTTCAGTGGAAATAGCAAACAGCTGCTCACCAACACCCACCCCAAAGAAAGAACAAGACATTTCTCACATATCTCAAGCTGCCTTAAATGTTCTTTCTTTGGCAAAGAAGAAAAAAAGGAGTATATTTTTGGCCCCTAAACCTTTTCCCACCCGTGTGTATTTCTGCAAAAATGTTATCCATATGGTTTTGATTGCATTCTCCATAAGTCATTAGAAATGCTTTGCACTGAGAACTTTTCTGATGACCAAGGAGTCTTTGGAGACATTTTAAAATGGCCCTCTTAGCCTTTCTTCATAGAAACGGGAAAGCTAAACAGAGCCAAATGCAAATGAACTAAGACCTGGGAAGGTTGGAGTTTTATTCAAAACTCAGAAACCATAAGGCTCAAGTGAGCCTGAAATCTGTCCATGCTAAGTCATCACCTCCTTCTCCAGGGACAAGATACACTAAATCATCCATTGGCACAGATAATGCAATGGCTTCAGACATTGAAGTTTATATTTAGGATATGGTTCAGTGACCCCATAAAATTCCAAGAACTTCCAATCATCCCAGGGCTTCCTCATTATTCCCAGTGGGTAAAGATTTTGGACTTGGACTTGGGTGTAGAATTTCTCACTCCATCACCTACTAGCTATATTTTGGCATGCTACTCAAGTTTTTCAAGGTTCAATTTCCTATCACATAAAGATAGAGTAGTATTATCTATCTTACACTGCAAAGAATTTTCAGAATTGTAAGCAATAATATTCAGAACATTGCACATAAGATGCTTGGTGCATGGTCAAAGTTCAAAAATTATCTTTCCTCTTTCTGTGTAATAGCAGTTGGAACTAGGAAGAGTTCTTTGTTTCTTTAGGGAAATATTGACGGTGTGGGTGAGAAAGAGAAAGACTGGACAGTGTTCCAAAGCATTAAGTCCTCTCTTCCTAAGGTATATAGACCACAGCCCATCTTGGGAAACTGATTACAAAGAAAGGGTTAAGAAGAATGAGTCAGGCCCTTTTGTGGCCATCACTGAAGCAGGAGCAGCCAAAATAAAGTTCAATCCCGTTGTGATTCCTACCAAAGCAAGAACCACTAAAGGTGTTTCAATGCCCCTTCCCACATTCGCAGGAAGATTATGTCTTCCCCTCTTTCCAAAGAGCTGAGACAGAAGTACAACGTGCGTCCATGCCCATCCGAAAGGATGATGAAGTTCATTTTGTATGAGGACACTATAAAGGTCTACAAATTGGCAAAGTAGTCCAGGTTTATAGGAAGAAATATGTTATCTACATTGAATGTGTGCAGCACGAAAAGGCTAATGGCACAACTATCCACGTAGGCATTCACCCCAGCAAGGTGGCTATCACTGGACTAAAACTGGACAAAGACTGCAAAAAGATCCTTGAATGGAAAGCCAAATCTCACCAAGTAGTTATAGAAAAGGGCAAATACGAGAAAGAAACAATTGAGAACATGCAGGAATAAAGTAATCTTATATACAAGCTTTAATTAAAACTTGAAATGAGGAAAAGAAAGAAGTTTAAGAAGAAAGGAAGAAGGAGGAGGGGAAAGAAAAAGGACGAAGAGGAAGAAGAAGAAAGAAGAGGAAGAAGAAGGAAGGAGGAAGAGGAGGAGGAAGAAGAAAGAAAGAAGAAAGAATAATAATCAGAACTTTGGTCTTCATCGGAAGTTGCCAGACTACCGTGTCTCAGGTTGATTTCAGAACTGCATTATCAGCAGGGCTGTTGTTGCTTACTAACGGTCATGGAAGCAGACCTCAGCTGGGGGATGATGGGGAGACAAGTAGAAAGATAGGTACGAATAAAGGAAGGATTGGGGCACAAGGAGGCAGAAAGAGAGGGAGAAAAAAGAAAGAGCAGGGAGAGGCGAGAGATGGTGATCTGGTATTTCATACTGCGGTGGGTGGGAGAAGCAGTGCGTGTGGTGGGCATATTTCTTCGTGGTCAGAACCAAATTCAGACCTCCCCTGGGGAACCTGTTTGCAAGACCTGAACCTGGGCCAGAAGCCAAGGGAAAGAAAGTTGCCCAAGCAAAAAGGGAGAAGTTTCCACCAGGCAGAAAGAGAAATCGCTAGGTGGGTCAGTGGCTAGAGAGCTGTCCGTGGTGCTGACTCCTCCTCATTTGGATTCCAGTGGAGACTTAGAGGAGCTCTGCACCATCTGCTGCTCCTCTCTTTCCTCTAGTCTCAGTCCTGACCTCCTGAGACCCAGGATCATTCTTGCTAGACCTATGTCTTCTCTCTTTCTCCATTCCTCTTTGTCTAATAAATAATTTTTCTCAGGTTCCCAGTTCATCACTCAAACATTTCTCTTCTATTTTGTTTCAAGACTCCTCTTCTTCCAATTAGTTCACTGGCTCCTAGATTGTTCTAGGCCTCCCTGGTGATCACATCTCCCTCCTACCATCCTTTCAATTAATAAACAAACAAACAAAAAAAAACATACGATGGCAATCATAAAAGCAGACAACATTCACTGAGTACTCACTAGGTGTCAGGGAGCAGTCTGAGTGCCTTTGCATATATTAACTCTTGAGCAGTCTAAGTGCCTTTGCAAACATTGACTGATTACAATTCCACATCAACCCTGTCAGATAGGTAGATATATTATTACTCTATTAAACAGACAAGGAATTGAGGCTTAAGGTAAAGTATTTTGGCCAAGACCACACAGTCAAAGATTCCAACCTCTCTCCAGCCTGCACGTCTACTGAATCTGGCTCTTTATATTTTCCATCATCTTTTCCTATGCCTTCCTGCCCTTCTGTGTGGTCGCTTTAATGCTTTCTATTCTTGCCTCATTTTCAAGGGACTAGGAATCTGCATTGCTGATTTGGTTTAAATCAGAAGGGAAGCAAAGTAAACAAACATACAGAATGTGCACTGTGTGGGAATTTAGATCATACGAGGGCTTTATTTTCCGCTTCAGGGAGAGGCCCCACGTTAGGGACCTCTCACGCTGATTGCGGAGTCTTTTTTTTTTTTTCTTGTCTCAGTCCCTGTACCCTCGCCCCTTCTCCGCCTTTGGTGGTCTCCAGAGAACTTCGCGTCCCCTCAGCTTCTCACTCCTACATCCTGCCTACGTAGAGAAGCTCTTGCTTCATTCTGGGAGGTTACGTGGGCTCTCGCCTACACACCGAGGGAAACAAACAGTGCCAAACACTCACAGAGAGACGCGCAGACACAAGCGGACCCACACGGGCACCTCCCGAGACAAAACCCACACTCGATGGATACACGAGGCCATGGGAACACCCCGGGCCCCAGAAACACTCAGGTACTCGCGGCGCACACAGTACAGTCACGCTCAAGAGCACCAGGATCCCGGGGTTGCGCAGATACACATCCCTTCGGATGCTCGTGCACATAGACACAACACCCGACACCCCCCAGACCCACGAAACTCCCCACGGCTCAGCCCTCAGCCTCCACACCCCCCGCCCCGGGCCGCCCTTCCCTCGAGGCGGCCTTGCGACTCTCCTCCTCTCGCTTATCCTCCTCCTCCGCCTAAAGATGTACAAAACACTACTGGGAAGCAAGCCTGCGCTCGGCTCCTCCCTCCCCGCCCCCCCCGGCCGCCGCTCCCCCATTCATTTTCAGCCGTCGCTGGCTAAGTCCCTCCCCCCGCGTAGCCCGGCCTCTGCTGCTCCCCGCCCGGAGACCGCGGCGCACTTGGACTTCCCTCTCCATTCGCCAGCCGCCGCGCTCCGGGTCCCCACGGCTGCAAACTGATCCGGTGTGGGGGGGGGAGGAGGAGAGCGCAGGCGAGCGAACAGCGATAGAGGGAGAGAGCTAGCAAGAGCGAGCCAGAGAGAGAGCGCCAGAGCCGGGAGGCAGAGGGAGTGGGGACCGCCTTCCGGAGCCGGGATTCATGCCTGTCCTCGGGACCAGCGAAGGGGACTTGACGGCTGAGTATGAGCCAGGCTGCTAGGAGCCAGGTACCCCCACGCCTGCAGTCCCCGCGCCGTCCCCGGAATGCGAGCTGGACGCAGGGCTCTCCCAAGTTCCCACCGAGCCGAATAAAAAGCGTCCGCCCGCAGCTCTCCGCCAAAGACGGACATTGACTCCAGGTAAGGCGGCACCGGGGTACAGCGCCCCGCAGCCCCACTGCCCTTGGACCCGTCCCTGGACCGCATTCGGGGCACCTCCCGTGCGCCCCACCCCTCCCCCTCCCGGCACCCTCGTTTGCTAGTCACCTGGCCTCCCCGCTGCCTCCAAGTCTTCTCCGGCTCTAGGGAGGGGGTTCCTGCGCCCAGGGCTGAAAGGGTTAACTGCGGGTTGGAGTGAGTGGCGTGTGTGTCCCCGCGCGCTCCCGACGTGTGCACCATGGTGGGAACTTGGTGTGGTGCTACTGTGAGTGTGCGTGTGCGGCGTCGTTTGCGTTTGATGCGTGTGTTTGTGGTGTGCGTGTGTCTGTGTGTGTGTGTATGGGAGGGGTGAAGAGAGAGATGTCCTATAACCTACTTACGGCGCGATGTGTGTGTGCATGTTTGTACGTATGTGTTTGTATGTGTGCACTCGTGTGTCTTTTTAATGAGATCTCTCCAGCTTACACGGAATGGGACCCCTTTACTATAAGATCACGTAGTCATCGGGAAACCCACTGTGGACTTCCTCTAGGGGCTCTGGGCTTGGGGTTTAGGGAGAATTATGGGGCTGTATATAGATGGCACCTTATTTAGCCCGGTGTTGGTACCCTTGAAGGAAAATTCCTCCAAACGGTGGAATCCTGCTACACTGGGACCCACCGCTTAGTATGAAAGAGACATGGCCAAGCCCGGAGACAAATGAGACGCTACCACTTTAAATTCCACACTGGGCAGACTCCAGGATTCTGATGGGAATTTGGAGACACTGGATAGTGGGTGACAGAGAAAGGGGGAAGTAGGCGGTGGGCTCCTCATCTGGGGCTTGGCAAGTCTGGGATAGGGATCTACCCTGCCTCCCTGTTGGCAATCAATACAGCCCCTTAGGCTTCTGGTGCTTTGGGGGAGGATCTGGGCAAGTTTGCATGGATCCCCCTTAGGGAAAAGGAGAAAGCATCCTCAGGGACTTGCTTATCCATCACAGTTGCAAAGGGTCTCAGAGGAAATTTCATTTGGGGGCAGCTCTGGATGATATGGAAGGAGATGGATGGGGCACTTTCCTAAGATAGATTCATCTTCCCCCATTTCAGTCAGGGAAGCCCCCAGAGAATCTCTGTCTACATATGCCTCTCCATGGCTCCACTGGAGTTAGAAGGATATTGGGAGAAGGCAGAGAGGTGGAGAGAGGTGGAGAGAGGTCGGGGGAGACGGTGGGAGGGGGGGAGGGAGAGAGAGAGAGAATGAATTATTTCAGTACTGAGGGAGATCTACAATTTGAAAAGGGGCTGTGAGTGGGGAACCCACAACAGAATGTGGCAGTAATTGACTTAAACTGCTGTCGGTTTGCACATTGCATCTCTCACTTGGCACCAAAATACTGCCAAGGGCAGGGGGGCGGTGGAAGAATCTCAGCCAGAAAAGCAGTTTGGGTCAAGGCCTTCTTTCTTGTTTCCTCCACCTCCTGGGAGACTCTCTAGGTAGGTCCCTTGGCCACCCTGCCTTGGTACTGTTGGGCTTGGGCTCTGGGGCCAGCCATTGATTTGATTCCCAGCTGCCTCTTAAAGGCTTGCCCTACTCAGCAAAAATGCTGAGTTTTACTGCTGTTAGCATGGCTTCCAGACTCGGCAGCTGTTACTTTCTCAAGGTAAGCGGCAGCCGTTCTGCTCTCAGGCAGGGAGGCTAGGAGAAGACGAGGCTGTGACGCTGGGACACAGCTTCACATTTAGCACAGCTTGGAGGGGCCACTGAAAACCTTAGGGGGAAAAAGTAGAAATACACTTGGAGTAAAAATTTACACATATATATTCTAGCAAAAAATCTATATATCTACATATATACACACACATATATATGTATATATATTTTCTGGGAGAGATAAAAGCAAACACGTTTGTAGGAACCTGCCCTGGAGGGTGGGCTCTACCTGCAGGCACTTGCAGACATACCATTCTCTGTCCAAAGGCTGATACCTCAGGCTGAAGCCTTCACACAGCCACAGAAAATCTCCTTTAGGAAACTCATGTCAGAGCAGAGCTCCCTTGATTCTCTTGGGTAGGAGTTATTAGGGCCAAGGAGGAGACCCCTTTTGGAGAACTGCCTCCTTTTCTCTCTTTCCAAATTCGTAGACAATTGAAGCTGGAAGGAATAATAAAGAGCAGAAAGGCAGGACTCTGGGGCCTAAAGAGGGAATGAGAATTCCCCAACATTTGTAGTGAGTTAGTGGCATGCCCAGGACTAGATTCTAGGCTTATCAGCTAGATCAATACCCTTACAACACTTCCCATACTGCCTGGGACCATATACTGCTCACAACCCTGTCCTGCCACCCTGCCACCATGATCCCAAGCCAGACAATCGCTTGTCTTCCCTCATTAAACTTCACATTTCAGAGATGGAGTTCAAGGTTTTTCTATCTGGAAACATGACCCCAAAGAGAAAAGGTCCAATGTGCATGCACACACACACACATACACACACACACACACACACACACACACACACACACACGCAGACACATGGGCTGGGTGGGGAGGGGGAAAGAGAGAAAGCAAGCGAGAGAGAGAGAGAGAGAGAGAGAGAGAGAGAGAGATTCCTTCTCCAATATCTTTAGAGAATTACCCAGGTGAGGACTCATTACTGACTATGACTAGTTGGCAGAACCCAGCAAAGTGTCTGGTCTGTATCTGAGCTTTTTATTAAGGAATGCACTGCTTTCCAGAGAGCAAAATGTACACCCATCCACCAATGCAAATACTTCAGGCAAATTAATTTCTTTATATTAATTAGAATCTCACCCCTATACATTTCTACATGTTATAGGCACAAGAGCACAGAAAAGCACACATGCATAGGTGTGCTTACACACACATGTGCACACAAAGATCCAGAAACCTTTTCTACTTACTACATTTCCAAAAAAGAGAACCTCCGCACCAAATTGTGTTCTCTCATATAAAGCATCTCCCATGTGAAGACTAGGACTCATGAACTCCAGGGAAGGAGAAATGTAAAACCCTATGAAAGAGAGACCCTGGAGAAGTCAGAATTGAGTTCACTCAAAAGTGTGCTCTTAGACGTCTAGATGCCTCTTTCTGGGTGCTGGCAAGTAGTGAAAAACATGGGGGTTTTAGGCCCATCCGCAATAGAGCCTTTTCCATGCAGGATTTTCCGGGGCTAGATGGCACTTTAGCTCCCAGAAGGGGGAGCTGTGACTCCATTTCAACCAAGGAGAAACAGCTCAGAGATTCCAAATCAGCTGTTGGGCCCCCGTTGAGTTTAGAAGACCCAGCTCTGGCTGCAATGAATGTCTTCGCCGCTGGTACAGGCAGGGACTGTAAAAACACCCGCCCCTGATCAGTTCAAATTCAACATCTCTTTCTTAGTGCGTGCAAGAGTTTATGTTATTGATCATAAAGTCCTCTATTTTTTCTGTAAAGGTCTTTGCCCAAAGGCCCTTCAGTTGTGCAAGGAGACATCTTTTGCTTTGCAACCTCTTTCTTTCCCCCTCCCAATTCCTTAGAGGAAATCACTAGTACATTATCACTTGAACAGACCATCAAGGTTAGACATGCCCTACCCTTTTTCCTGCTTTTCCCTTGCTGAAATACAAAGCTTCACAAATTGGCTACTGAACTACTGGAAACCATGTTAAAGACAAGATGGAGGTCATGTGAAAAAGACAAGTCCTTAAATGTCATTCTTCAAATAATTTCTCTAGTAGTGCTCCCTTCTGCAAAGACCATCTTTATTATTTTTTCCTCCATGCCCCACATTTGGCCATGACTTTTAACAAAATTCTACCCATATTTCAACATCTAGCTCAAATGACCCTTCTAAGAAATCGTCTCAATACCTTATTTTGGAATTAATCTCTTTATCACTTGATGTTTGTGTACCATTTTATCTGAAACTCTATTTTAGCTTGTGTCTCCGTTTGCCCTGCTTTATAGCGCCTGGGGTATAGGTCTATCTTACCCTCTTCTGGATGATCTAAGAAGCATCTTTGTATTCCAGGGACTGACACAGAGTAGTTGCTTTGTAAATATTTGCCCTTACATTTCATGTCACATCTCAATAGCAGCTGTCCTCTCTCTGTCTCTCACACTTTCTAGCTGACAATTGCTTCATATTCATTTAAAGCAATGCTGTTGTGGCATTTTTGCCTATATCAAGAATATGGCGATTCCAATGATAATACAGACACACAAAAATTAGACCCTACTTGGAAGTGAACATTGACTTCCTGTAATCCAGGGTCTTTAATTTTGTTCTCTCACATAGTCCTTCTTTCCACCAAGTGGTTTCCACCAAGTCCTTCTTTCCACCAAGTCCTTTCCTTTCCACAGAAGAGGAAAATGAAGCCCCGGCTGGACAGACTCCTTGACCAAGGTCACACAACCATCACAGCTAGCATTTGAATCTGTCCTCTTCCCTGCATCATCTCTGCTGTTTTCACTGGACCACTGAGTTAATGGTAACTCTTATGAATGACCGGCAACATCGGGTTGTTCAATAGATGCTAGGAATAGCTGGGACGTATTATGAACTCTTTGAAATTGATGGTAGGAAGGTGTCATGGAGCCACTGGATCAAAGAACACCTCTGAAGGTTTCTCAATAACCAAACTTTTCTTCATTTTCAGGAATGACAAGTCCTTTTTGTGATACCAATAATGCATGACCGTTCAGTCTTAGTTTTAGTACTTTTAGTGACAGCAAGTTCATTACCACACAAACCAGCCTATGTCATATTTGAAGAGATTTGTTGGAATATTTTCTTACTTTGCCCCTAAATCATCCTTCTATCAATGTGTCTCTGAAATTGTGCAAGTGTAATTCACTTCCAGTTATCAGTTCTTCAATTATTATGAAAACATAATTATTTCACAACTATTTTCTTTGAGAATAGAGGGGATTGTCTTCACAGCCCTGTCTTCCGTAGCCTCTGCTTGGAGGCCTCTTGGCACCCTCAATACTCTCCTAGGGGAATTGTCTAGTTTACCTCACTTTTAGGGCTTACATGCCACTACAAAAGGGAAGGATGACCTGAAATTGAGTGAGGATTTATTCAACAAATATTTATTAGGTGCTTGCTGTTTGCCAAACATTGCTGTAGACAAGCTGTCAAATAGAACTGTCAGTGATGATGGACATGTTTTCTGGTCTGTCCAATATGGTAGCCACTAACCATGTATGATTACTGAACACTTGGAATGTCGCCAGTGTTGCTGATGAACTGAATATTTAATTGTATTTAACTTATATTAATTTTTATTTTGATTTATATAGCTATATGTGGTTCATGGCTACTGTATCAAATA